AAATATCTATTTTTTTATGTTTTTTTTATTTAAAGTTTGAATATGTATATTATTTTTTATTAAAATATATTATTTTAGTTAGAATACCTACTTATTATTTCACTTGTATCACGTAAATTACGATTCATTATTCATTATTTATTACTAAATCAAAAAAAAAAAATACTCAGGGTTCTAGGGAATGAAATAGTTTACCGTCTTCTCCAAAATAGCAAAAAAGTTTAGTACTGCAGCCATTTGTAATAATTTGTAAAGGAAATTATTCTTATAATGCACCTTTGAAAGTGTTTTTATTTAAATCGAAATTATAACTCAAAAGTTATTTTTATCGCCTACTAATATACCTCACGATATACATTTCTGAATAACCATGGTTATATCGGCATCGGGTTAAATTTTAAACCAAATACAAAGTTACAGAATCGCTCTAGAGATTTTAACCAGTCGATATGATATAACCCTTGGTTATTTATAACTAAAAAGTTACAGAATAGACCCCTAAGAGCTTTATTAACGTACGCATGCGAAATTTGCCCAACGAGTGCGTAGCACGAGTTGGGCAATCGCAAAAGTACGTTAATAAAGCGTTATCACACGTATATTGTACAAATTTTTATCTACGCCTCTAAATGAAAAAATAAACGGTAATTATTTTTGTCTAAGACTTAATTTAGGGTTATTTTGACATTTTGACATTTTGACTTTTTTATTTGATTGGTTAAAAGCAGAGAAAAACGCGTGCGTTAATGAACTTCTTATCTCACTCAAAATGAGTGGGATAAGAAGTTCTTATCTCACTGGCGTAGATAAATTATTTTAACTGTTTTTATTAACATTATTAATTTTATATAAGTTTAAACATTGCTGCAAGAATATTTAAATATGGAATACACAGGTACTATGTACTCCTACTAATCATACTAATTATTTATCAAAGAATCAATAATTAATTACTATTATTTGCAAAACTTTTACAATTTCCTTGTTTGAAAACCACCTATAATTTATGTAAAAGTAAAAAAAAGTGTTTTCACTTTTTAAATCACCTAGTACCTACTCAAACATATGTGACAGCACTAATAAGATTTTACAATTTTATTAACGCTTTCGGTGATCTAAATAAAGGATTAAAATAATTAAAATTAATTACCTTATTGTTTTATCTTAAAGATCTTTTTAAATTAACACAAAATCTCTTAAAAACAAGTGGATCAAAATATTATTTGTAGGTAGAAAATGAAAAGTCGGCATTGATGCGAAAAGTGAAATTAAGAATTACAAAGCTGCTTTAACTGTTCCATTGTTTGTTTTAGACGATATTTAAATTAACTTTTTTTAAATTTTAATAGCAGTTTTATAATCTATGAAAATATCTGAATAATTTAAAAAAATATACGCTTCTTTAACCTACAAATGTAACATACCTTGAATTATAAATGTTTATAATGACTGTTATAATACTATCTAGTTTACATTACCAAAAAATAAAAAGTGTATTTTAAATATCATTATCTACTATAACGTTACAAACCTAATGTGCGTATTTTATAGGGTGTTATAAATTTTCGATCGTTTTTTTTTTGTAAAAGGTTTTAATAAACGTATGTATTAAATAATATAATAATGTCTCCAGTCAAAAAAATGTTTAAAAACTATAGGTGTACTTTTTTTAAAACAGTTAAAAAAAATATTGTATTAAAACCTTTTTTATGTCTTAAATAATACCTTTGCATTCATTGTGGCGTTTTGATAAAAAGGTTAATGTTTTAATTATTTGTTTGGAAATATTAAGAAGATTGATGGAATTTAACAGTTTTTTGTCTTTATTTGATTTATGCATTTTTATGATAGAGTTAAAATAATTTAAAATTAAAGGGTCTAATATAAATTATTAATTTATGTCGATCGATTGAAAAATGACTTTAATGCTGCATATTAAATTTTATCCGAAATCACATTTAATAATACTACACAGGGGTCCTCAAAGGTGAACGTTTGGTCTCCTCAAAATCACTTTCATTGAAATCCCACCTGATCGGAAACTTAAAATATTTACATTTTTTTAATTTTTTTTATTTTTGTAGTCATTTTTAAGAGACTGTTTTGTTTTCCAATTTAGAAAAAATGCCTCTTTCTGATATTCAAAACATATATTTATTAAAAATTATAACCAGTTTCTATAAAAAAATTAAATTAAATCATTTTAAAGTGTACCCCGTAACAACCTGTTAACATAACACAACATATTTATATGTTGTGTTTATAAACTATAAACTATAAATGAGTTGATGAAAACTCTACTACTACTTTTAGTAATAAACTACAGTATCTCTCATCGCTAATGTCATTTATTTTATACTTTTCCCAAGTTTTACGAACTGTGTAACGACTCCCGGCTGTTCTGACCATATACCCAAAGCTTCATTATTTAAGAATTTAATTTCATCTACAAGATGGTTTAAAGCAATATGAATTTTTAAAGTTGTTGAGAGATTATAATCTATACTATACTATACTATACTATACTATACTATACTATACTATACTATAGTTGCTTTAAAAACATTTTCTAAAGTTTTCGATATCGTGAAGATCGTTTTATTTTAACTTTGTTCATGGCCTTAAAACATAAAATAAATGGCAAAACTTCCAAGTAGGAAACGCTACCGAGAATATCGCTGTCTACAAGCAAATCTGAATTTTGTAGGAGTTTTCTACATGCGTTTCCTTCGAATATTTCACCTTGATAGTTTCGCTATCAAGGATATTAACAAATAAAAGGTCTTAAACAAACATTTACCTTGTCCTGCTAGAAAACACAAATTTTAACGACGAATATTTCCAAAAAAAACACTGCTTAAACTGTGGTATGGTATCATCTAAATGCTGGCTGGCTTTGACTTAGATTGCATTAGAGTCAATTTCCGTTTAATAGATTAATTAGATTCTTATATACACCACTATCCGAAATTAGGCGACTTTCCTCTGCAATTATTAAAAGGTTAGATACATCTGAGAGAAGTCGAATTTTTTTGTTGGTCAAAAGTGATAAATAATGATATTTTACGGCCTAGGGCATAAATAACCTAACCCGATTGGTCTAAAATTTAGACCAATAGGGTTAGGTTAGGCTCCAAACCATTTTAAAGACCTAGGCCATAGACCGATTAAAGATAAAAATATGTATGTAAATTTAGAAATTTTCTTCTGGCGAATTAATAAAAAAACACTTTTGCCACAACGGCAACGCTTGCCGGACTGACTATATGAAATGAGTGTGACACTAAAGTGGGTAAATAAGGGTAAATCAGAGTAAATTGTTTTGCAACTGTTTGTTTTAGAGAAATTCTGGTATATATGCATAAAGAAAACTCACATAAAACAAGTCCTATTTTGATTTGTAATCAAAATTTTTTTGATAAATCTACCACTTATAAAATTAAAAAATATATTTTTGCATACTTGTATAAAGTAAAAAAAAATTGTTTTACCTACTTTTAAACAGCATTTACCTATTTTTATATTTACAAATTTTAATTTAATTTAAAAAAATTATATTTATTAATAAAGGTATATTTTAATGTCAAAAATTGCCAAACAATTCTTAAGAACAACCAGATCCGCTTTAAGCCCCCAATTCCCGTGAAGCCATACGCAATAACCCCCAAACAAATTAATCCAGCCAATATATAAACGTAATAAGAGCTAACCAAATCAGTTAAGTGCACTGCAGCATCTAATATAATATTAAAAGACTTCGCTGGATTGTAGAAAGTGACAACCCACGTCGAGGAGGGAAACTATATAATCATATAGCAGTGCTTGCAACTTCTTCAGTTTTAGTGTTTCAGTGTCTTTTAGTGGTATTGTTTTTTAAAGGTAAGCCAAAAAAGCTACCCCTATAAATAAAGAAAACATCAAACTCAATATACAACACGTTTTAACAGAGAATTATTATTTAATCTTTTTTTTATTATTGGGAAATATTTATTATTAATTATTAATTATTACTAATTATTAATCTTACCTAGTTAAAATAAAATTTATATTTAACTGTTGTACACTGGTAATTTTATGATCTAAATTAAAATTAGAAAAATTTAATTTTTCTGTAATTAAGAGTACCTACCTTATTTTTAATTATTTTTATTTTGAACTAAAGTTGTATCTAAAATATCATTAACCTTATATTTTGTAATATGAAAAAGACTAAACACCTAATTATATTTATTTTATTTATCTTATATTATTACCTGCTAATTTTTTTAATGATACTTGATTAAGAAAGTAAATAAGAATTTATTACAGTAATTCATAAATAATCCTTGCGATTATAAGAAAGTTATTACATATTCGTTTTAATTAATAAAACTAAAACACGTAAAAAACATTAAATTTTGAAGAGAGAGTTTATCTAATTTAAAGTAAATAGATTTAAAATAAATTAAATATTGTGTAATAACAGAGGATCCCTTAGGGAGTGTTTTTCTGCCATTTCTCTTATTTACTCGAAAACAATAGCGAAATATACTTCAGTGAAAGTACAAGTGATAAGTGTGAGAAACAAGATAAAGTGCACTTTGTACGATATTGCTGATGTACATTGTACATATAAGAACTTTCTCAAGAAATACACGGTCAGGGTCACTGGTTCAATAACATTATTGTAACAAAGACTATAATAATCCTAATAAAAAGGGTTTAACAATTTAAAATGTTGACAAAAAAGTTAATGATGCCGCTTCTAGGTATATGTATTTAATTATGTAAGACTTCCAAACGTATAATTTAGTTACCAAATATGAATTAACATGTATGACATCACCGATTCAGCAGAATTTGTTTACAAATACAAAAGAAGAAAGTCAAAGAAAGTAAAAGCGCGACCCAATTCGACGCACCATCTTAGGCGCCACCTACGACTAAATTGAATTCGGATAAATCGTAGGCGTTTGCGAATTTCACTTTTAGCAAAATTTTATTTTCTTTTATTATTTTTTTTTTTAGAATGAGGCTTATATTTGCCACTGCGGCAATAATGCTGCTGCAACTTACCAGCGCACAAGAAAATGCTTGGAATTGGGGAAACGAAAAACCAGAAGCTCCCAAACCAGTCGAACAGGAACAAAGCAACTTAAACTACCAGGAATATCAAGGATCATCGAGCGACTACTCTGAACAAGGAGTTAATTTGAATAACACAGAAGTTGAAAAAGTTGTCGATGACATTTTAGTTTCGAATAGGCAAGGAAGAAACTTGGAAGGATACGATGAAGTTTACAGCGATCCCTCTGTACAAGAAGTTTTGCAAAAGGGAGATGATAGGGAAGCAAGGAATGTCATAAAAGAACGTTTGTGCTACTTGGGTCTTATGCAAGTAAGTTTGACAATTTAACAAATTAATTTAACTTTTTACTTATTATGAACTATTTGCAGTGTGAAGAAGATATTGAAGGTAAACGTCCATACATCTCGCCAGAAGAACTTATTTACGCACAACCTGTAGCTATTAACCCAGTAGGACAGCCAATTCCAACAATCCCAGTTAAAGGGGGCAGAGGTCACAACTACGGGCCACCTAGGCCAGTTCCTTATCCAAATGGCGGTAAATTTGGACCTCCTCCAAACAAGTTTGGGCCTCCTCCAAGCAAATTTGGCCCGCCACCAAATAAATACGGTCCCAACCCAAATTTTTCTCCAAACAAACCTCCAAGACGCGGATACGGACCAATCCCATCGGGAAAACCAATTTACAATAAACCACCACCATTTGTCTCTGGCGACGTCTATGATAGTCCACCAGAATTTGTGAAACCCGGATTTTCCGGAGATCTTCCGTACGAATTTGACTCGAGCAATTTTAATTCTTTCACCAACAAAGACAAAGAGATCATTCTAAAAGAGAAAGACAAGGTTGAACATGTCCACCATCATTACCATCATAATTTGGAAGGTGCTAATAAAGCACCAACTGTCATTGTAAATCCTATTCCAGTAGCCGCCGCAGCTGCAGCTTCAGAAGCCGTCTTACACTCTCAATCAAATCAATTTGGAAACTTTGGATCCAATTCACACCACACCCAAACATCTTCGTTTAATCCAATAACAAATCCAGGTTTTGGCGGTGCTTCACTTAGTGGTTCAGGCTTCACCGAATCCAACTCAGGATTTACCAACTTAAATGTAAAACCAGGTTTGACAATTGGAGGCTCTGGATTAACAAGTGGTATATATGGCGGACAATCCATTGCAAATTACGGCGGTTTAAACTCATATCAGACCATTAAGCCCATACAAGAAAACAACTATGGTGCTCAAACTTTCGGCTCTAACAACTTTGGATCCAACAGTTTTGGAACATCCGTGGGAGCTTTCGGTTCATCTGAGCTTTACAAAAAAGAACTTAACTTAAACTCCGGTAATTCCAACTACCTTCAATCTAACTACGCCGATAAATACCAAGGATTAGCATCTTCTAAAGCCGAAAACTACGATTGTGTGTGCGTACCATACGACCAATGTCCAACTCAAGACGTTATCGGACGCAAAGATGACTTGTATCTTGCTATTGATCCAAGACACATTAAAAGTGATATTGCCGCAGAAGAAGAACGAGTCATCACAGATGGAAATGGTACTATGACCGTCGTTAGAGTACCAAAGGACACTGGCAATGCTACAGTGGCCGAAGACGAAAAAACTGAAGAAAAGAAAATCGTCAAACGTGAAGCGCCTGTTAACAAAGATGATCCATCTAAGGCAAAGGCTGAAGCTGTAAGTACCTATATATTTATTTGTTGTTAACGTAAACAAAAATAATCCCAATGACGACTAACATTGTAATAAAAACCCTTTTACGACTTGTTGTCACTAACTACAACCGACTGTTTTAGGTTAAGATTCCCACTGATCACCACCGCCTCTTCCTCATTTTTTAAATCGACTAAAAATAACATTTATACTAAAAGCCTTGGTGCTGGCGACTAAGACAAAATTTCAATTTAAGAACCAATAGTTATCAGGTTCAATTTTTACAGCGACAATACGGGACAAATAACATGATGAAGAAAATTAAACCTACCCTTGGTATATCATTTGGATTACCACAACAAGGAGGCGGTGGATACCCAATAAACCCTTACGGCCCGAATCCTCATATTAATCCTTATGGAAGTTCTATCGGCTCCACTGGCATTAACCTCGGTTTAGTATCTGTAAATCCCCTTATTTCCGTTCAACTTTCCAAAGACGATTATGGCGATAAAGTAATAAAGCCTTTTGTTAACTTGCATGTTACTCCAAATAATTACTTGGTGAACAAATTTGAAGATTTAATTCATTACAAAAAAGGATATGTGTACAATAAGCACAAGCACTACCACTACCATAAACAACCCCATTACTATCCTCCACATGGTCATATTTCTCATGGAGCTGAAGTATTTCGCGAACCATCAGATTTCCATCATGATTTTCATGGACCAACTTATGAAGGTCCCATAGATCATCACGGTCCAAATTATGGTGGTCCCATAGACCACCATGGTCCTTCTGGACCGCCAGAATCCTTCGGACCTTATGACGGTCCACATGGTTCATTCCACCCTCCATCTTTCGATCACCATGGCCCCCCATCATTTGATCCCCATGGGTCACCAAATTTCCATGTTGATGAGGGTCATTATGGCCATCATGATCATAATCCAAGTAATTTTTTTGATGATCCATTAAATTATGGCAGCAATTCTGGGCTTGACTATTTTTCTGGTAGAACTTTTGATAATAACACCAATAATTATGTAGATGGTAATAGCATTTTACAGCAAGTTCAGGATCTTTATAATAAGGGAGTTAATTATTACGGTGGTCAAAACTCGATACAATTCGAGGGCGAATCAAGCTCTGATAGAATTTCCAATAAGAGAAGCGGTAAAAGCCTTAAAACTCAAACAAACACATTCAAATTTCCTTCGAATAGAAAAAGACGAGACGTGACTGAAGACGAAAATATTAAGTCAAAATCCATCAAGGTACTGTAATTTAAAATCAAAAACGACGAATTATTAGCATGCTGCATAATTTAAACTCAAACTAACTAAAAAACTTCTTATTTAGCGTCAAGCCTATTACGGAAACAACTATGGAAGGCCACAAACTTGCGGACCCAGACACGTTTGCTGCAAAAGGCCACTTCGTCCACAAATTCCTTCAGGTAACTTGGGCAACAGACAATGCGGTACCAGACATTCGCAAGGTATCAACGGACGTATTAAGAACCCAGTGTATGTTGATGGTGACAGTGAATTCGGTGAATACCCATGGCAAGTCGCCATATTGAAAAAAGATCCCAAGGAAAGCGTTTACGTCTGTGGAGGAACTTTAATCGATAATCTCCATATCATCACTGCTGCTCACTGTGTAAAAAGGTAAATAATATTTGCAAAACAATTTTTCAGTTTTCTAATCCCATTAATTTTGCAGCTACACTGGTTTTGATTTGAGAGTACGCCTTGGTGAATGGGATGTAAACCACGACGTTGAGTTCTATCCCTACATCGAAAGAGATATTATCACGGTTACCGTCCATCCTGAATTCTATGCAGGTACACTTTACAACGATCTCGCCATCCTCCGCATGGACAAACCAGTGGACTGGAGCAAATACCCGCATATCAGCCCGGCTTGTTTGCCAAACCCACATGATGACTACACCGGTACCAGGTGCTGGACAACTGGATGGGGCAAAGACGCTTTCGGCGACTTTGGAAAGTACCAAAACATACTTAAAGAGGTTGATGTACCAGTTGTAAATCAAGGAGTATGCCAAAGACAAATGCAGCAAACCAGGTTGGGATACGACTTCCAGTTGCATCCAGGTTTCATCTGCGCCGGTGGTGAAGAGGGCAAAGACGCCTGCAAAGGTGATGGGGGCGGTCCAATGGTGTGCGAACGTGCTGGTACCTGGCAGGTGGTTGGCGTGGTAAGCTGGGGAATCGGTTGCGGCCAACCTGGCGTCCCTGGAGTCTACGTGAAAGTAGCCCACTATCTCGACTGGATAAGACAAGTTACACAAAGATATTAGACTTGCAATAATTTATTTAGAATATTATTTTATTATTTAATTTATGATTAGATGTAAGGCTAACTTATTTTTGTACAGTAATGTTAGGACTTCTGCTTGATGTGATAAGTAAGTCAACTAATTTAGTATGTTTGTTTTGATTTATAATCAATATCAATTTTAAATATATTATTGATCTTTATACCTGTTTTTTATTATTAATAACTACTCCTTTTAAAATATATAATACTAAATATTTTTAGACAGACCAATCTGTTTAAGGAGATTTGTTATTGACAGCAGTAAAATGTCGTACATTTCCTTTCTGCAATCTAAAAATAAAACTGAGGTTTCTGAGGATCCTCAGCAATTATTAAAAGATGTTTGTTTGGAAGACAAGAAAAATAAAGAAAAAGCTGTTAAAAATGAAGATGTTAACAAAATTTGTCCGGATATATTTTCACCAAGTCCGCCCACTAACGATAGAGTTTTATGGGAAAATATATGTAAGGAATTTGAAATAAAGAAGAACCTTGTCGAGGATTATATGAAGAAGAAAAATAATAAACCTACTATTTCTCCAAGTATTTATTTATAAATTATAGGCATTTTATACATTTTTTTTAATCATATTTTAGGTCCAACATTGCAATACATGCAAAATAATGTATTTTCCTATTTAATGGACGGCATGCACTTGATGGTGGAAAAAGCTATTGAAGAGGATAGTTTATATGTAAGTTTTTTTAACCTTTAATATGGTATCTAGGTTTAACCTAAGTTAAGGTAAACATGGGCCTATATTATAATAACTTACTTGCAGATTCCAAAAACAACATTTGATGGCATAGACTTTCTATGTGAGTACTTGTATAATAACGATCCATTTCACCCTGAAAGAAAAGAGCATCCTATTCCATTTTTGGAATTGGATTGGGTAAAGAAGATATTGAAAGATAAGTAAGTTTTACGTATTTTTGCTAGTTTCTAGTAAATGAAAATTTATTGTAGGCCAAGACCGTTTTATCCAAAATCAAGACTCTGGAGTAATGATTATGCCGCAAAGATAATACAAAAATTTGTTAGGGGTCATTGGCTTAGAAGTAGGGAAGAAGTTCAAGAACTTCGTCAATTCTGGAGGGTAATTATCAGCTTTTAATGCATTGTAATAGTCTGTTTCTTAAAATTTGGTTTCTTAAGCCCATAAAACAATGAACTTAAAAATAATAATTTTAGGAAAGCATTTAATTATTTGTTATATTTTATAAAATATGGTTAGGTATATTTTATAAAATATAGTTTTATACTTTATCAGAAATCGTATCAACAATAAATAAATAAATAGTAAAATGTTTTATTTTTTTTTTAATTGCCTTATGGACTTAAAAAAGCATCAAATATATTAGTAAGGGCAAAATACATTAATACAATTGAAGGGGCAAGTGGATAAAAGATCTGATTCTTCTTAAACAGGGTGTCCCGAAAATAGTGTGCAATACTCTTCACGCGGTTTCTAAAAAATAGGTAGACAACTTTTTATAAACATAGGTAGGCAAATGGCCCCTAAGGGAGCCTTCTAAAAGGGCGCCCCTGGTTTAAAATAAAATAATACTTTATGCTAAATTTAAAAATATTTTTTTTTATTTAAGTGTATTAAACAGGGGCGGCCTAGGGTATTTTTGGACCAAACTTTTTTGTGTTAAGGCAGAAAATACAAATTTAGAGTTTTTTACATAAAAAAGTACTCTTGTTGAGCATCGATAAAATGCACCATATTCAAATGAAAATAAACTGACGACAAATTAAAAATCTTTTTTCTTTTTTAATATAATATAATATAATATAATACAATATAATATAATATAATATAATATAATATACCTAGAAGCTTGTCAAAAAATTAATTTATCAAAGGGTAAGTCTGGTGCGAAAAAAATTAACTTTCAAAATATAAAAAAATAATCAATTTCAATATACAGGGTGTCCGGGAAAAGGAGGTCAATCCGTTAACCATATATTCCTTGAGTTAAAACAATAAGACTTTCATAATACCATTTTTCAATTTAGAGCTTCATGTTCGATATACAGGGCGACCAAGTTTGAAATTAAAAACTGATTTTTTTTAATAATTCGAGTAATTGATAAGATACTAAGTTTAAATTCGGTACACTACTTCAACATAAATAGTTAAATTTTTTGAGACCAACAAAACAAAAAAACAATTGTCAAATAATCAAAATAGGGGGGTCCAGTACTCACTGACTCCCCCTATTTTTTAGTACGTGCGCCAATTACTTCCAAACGGAATTTTTTCAGGTAATCATTTATTGTTGAAAATGTTTTGTCTCTTATAAAATTTTGATAAAATGATTTGTTTTAGAGATAATTTGTAAAGTATGGGTCAGTCCATATCAAATTTTCAAAATTTAATTTTTTTTTGAAAAAATGTAGGTCATGTGATATATCATAAAAAAGTTCTCTACTAGGCCTTTAAAATAAGCCATCACTCACCTTTCTACTTTTAATAGTTTACGAGATATCGCTATTCTTGTAAGTACTTGCAAGACCCAAATTTATCGGAATTTTTTGATTTTCAAAAATCAATAAAACAAAAACCACCTATCGAAAAAAGTTCATATATGGGATTTTTGAGTTTTTTAGTGAGGTAAACAAATTTACCAAAAATGATCAAAATCGGAGATGGTGGGGGAAGAACCTTTGGTTGATTTGAATGGACTGACCCATACTTTACAAATTATCTCTAAAACAAATCATTTTATCAAAATTTTATAAGAGACAAATTTTTTTTAACAATAAATGATTACCTGAAAAAATACCGTTTGGAAGTCATTGGCGCACGTACTAAAAAATAGGGGGAGTCAGTGAGTACTGGACCCCCCTATTTTGATTATTTGACAATTGTTTTTTGTTTTGTTGGTCTCAAAAAATGTAACTATTTATGTTGAACTAGTGTACCGAATTTAAACTTAGTATCTTATCAATTACTCGAATTATTTAAAAAAATCAGTTTTAAATTTCAAACTTTGTCGCCCTGTATATTGAACATGAAGCTCTAAATTAAAAAATGGTATTATGAAATTCTTATTGTTTTAACTCAAGGAATATATGGTTAACGGATTGACCTCCTTTTCCCGGACACCCTGTATAAAAGAAAACAACAAAATATTATAAACATAGCAAGACATGACAGGCAACTTTGCTAGACAATTTGAAAAAACTTTAAACTAAAGTTTACAGAAAATACTATATTTAGCAAAAACAATAAAATTGCGATCATCAATTGGGTGGGAGGATACTTCGATCAAAGAATCCTAAATATATACCTAATGTTACAGAAGATGAATATTTCGATTGTTTAACGGCAAAAATACAGCACCAGGCCACGATAACATTTCTAGAATGGCTCTAAAACAATTCGATCAGGAAATTTGTGATAAAATAATCCAAATATTTGAACTTTGGCCTACTTAATATCTACATTCCGAGTAAATGGAAAAAAAGATTAATTATTACCATCCAAAAACCTAACGTGTACCACGCTATCCCAGTATCCCCGTAATTGGAAAAACCTTCGAAGAAATAATTAAAAATCGATTAGAACAGACCATTGGTCACAAAATCCCCTTATACCAATTCGGATTTAAAAAGCAAACCTCAACATTGTTGAGTCAACAATACATTCACTAATTATACTAACATGTACAGTATGGCAACATTGGTTGCTGAAAAAACTGGTAACATTGGAATGTCCGGAATATCTGGTATGGTTAATACAGGAATTTCTTACATAAAGAAAATTGCAAGTTAAAATTGGCAACAAATTGTCCTCGTTCTTCGCACCAGAACAAGGAGTACCGCAAGGATCACCGTTGTCACCAATTTTATATAACTTATATTATTATGACATGTACAACCTAAATCCCCTGTTCATAAAGGGCCAAAGATACCTATATTCTACAATTTGATGATGATACAGTTTTAATAACCCATGACAAAACGGCAACAGAAGCAAGTGTAAAACTACAGGAACTAACCCACCAAGGTATCAGCATGGATGTCCAAGTGGAGAATTCTGCCTAGCCCATCAAAATCGCACCTTTTACTGTTTCACCACAAAACTTAAGCAAATTCACCCACTATCAACACTTTGCAAAGTACAGTAGTCATTAACATCATGTTGTTACCCGGGAATTACACAAGCTAATTAGCTAAATTAGGTAGCTAAAGTTTAAAATTTACTAACAATTCCAAGAAAAGTATTGCAAATAGGGCAAAACAATTTAGAAGCCTTACATATAGACCAGGGCATAAATATCAAAACGGCTGCATCCATTTATAAACTAATCAGTCGGCCAGTGTTGGAATATGGAACTGCACTTTTTCAAAATTGCAAAAAAACTACCCCCACAAACATCGAGATAGGAAAACGTACAAGTATGAGGAAAATAACAAAAATTCGACCCCCAAAACCCTTTACTTAACCCATCCAATGAATCCCTAATCCCGCACCACTAACGTCAAACCCATCCAAACAAGACTGGTATACTTTGCAAAAAAAAAATTTTAATTTAACTTCACTGTGATGGAACCGTTGATATCCCAAACAAATTCTGAGAACACTAAAAAGACAAAATACCCTAATAGGCCACTATATGACACACTGAAGCTCTGGGTGGAAGAATAGTAGCCTATAATAACATTGATTAATTTTTGTAATAACTTTTTAATTTTTGTGTTTTTTGTAAAACAATATCAGTATATATTAAATATTATAAATGAAAATGTATTCTAAATAGGCAGAAAGACTAAGGTCATTAGCCTTTTGGAGTAATCCAATAAAGTTTATTTTTATAATATATTTAACCAGAAATATAAAAAATACATGTGTCCGGTTTTATCTTAAACCGTTTTAGAAATAATAATAAAAAAACCAAAGGGGCCATTTTTGGGCCTAAACAGATTGTAGAGTATTGCACACTATTTTCGGAACACTCTGTAATAATGGACAAAATATATTGTAATTGCATTAAAAAAATGTATTTTTAAACAAAAACTTTGAATAGTCTATTATTTATTAAAGTAATGGATATTATTTATGAAATTATTAAAACTATTATCCATCCTTTATTTAAAAGTAACATAACTTCTTCCTCCACTTGAGTTATAATAATAATAATAATAATTACGAATAAGGCATAATAATAATTATTATGCCTTATAATTTATAAGTACACAATTTTTTAAAAGCAAATTTATAATTTAGACTATTTTTGTTGCATATTACATCCATTACAATTTTTGGTTTTAGAATTTGGAAGAACAAAAAAATCCAAGAACAAAAATAGTGGAAAGTTTAACCGATGAAATCAAAAATGAGGCTGAAAGAATATTAAACATAATATAAAAACATTTAAAATATCTACTTAATTTATTTTTATTAACCTAATTTTATAACTTTACACCTTCATACAAACTAGGAGAAATTGGTGTTCCTAATCCTAGTGTAATATTTACATCTGGTTTCTCATCTTTTTCAGCAATCTTATATTTTTGTTTACTACTCTTATTATACACAAGTTCTAACTTTGGTACTTCAGTAACTTTTTCTCCTCTGGAAATCATGTCCCTTTTTAACAACTCTTGCATTATTGGTGGAAAATCAACTGTTTTTGGAACTATTTTCACATGTTCTTGTTTGACTTCCTTAAACCGGCAATAAGCATCTTCCTGATCTTTGGGAATTAGTTTGTAATCTGTTTTGTAACTGGTGCTTTCAATAACCATTGGTTTTGGTTGTTTTACACCACGAAAAACTTTTTCAACCCATACTCTAACTTTACGTACATCCTATAAAGGAAAATTAATAAATACAAACTTGTATAAAAATAAATGTCTGAAAATTTAAGTTAAATAACTCTAATTAGATGAACAAATTTAATGTAATTACTCTAATAACATTTTGTTAAAAATTAACTTGTTTATTTAAGAGTAACTCAAAAATAAAGACCTTCCACTGAAACGATTCCATAGATAATTGATTTGATCTAAATCATCTTATATTAGCTTAAAAGTATAAAAACACTCACGTCGTAGCTTGGTTTCTCTGGATTAGGTAGCGTTTCTACTTTTATTATTTTTAAGAATGATGGTTCGGGATACCTCTCAAACCTACTTCTGGCAACAATACGTCCCATTCCAAAATTCTTCAGATTTCCCACTATTTCCCATAATGTTTTTCCGATAAAATCGTGTTTTCTACCAATATATTTGTAAGGCATTTTAAAATCTAATTTTATTGACACAAATAAGTTAGGTTACATGTAAAGTGAGGTTATATAATATAAAAATGGTTGTGTAAGCAGTTGTGCCACCACAATACAGTCAAATAATAAAATTATCCACTATGATCCTCTTAATTTTTTTTGTGAAAGGGGAAAGAAAAGCGTTAATTTTTAACAATATTAAGACAAAAAAGACTCTTTACTTAAGTAAGTAAATTAATTGATTATGGTAGTATTTATTTGAAGAGTTTCCATAGACTGTCTTCAAAATTTAATATATGATTTTGTGAGGCATCACCCACATTCACAAATAATTTCAAATTTTTTACATCACTGACTCTAAGAAAATAATTTGGAAAGTTAGAAATTTTGTTTTCATACGCTTTTTTCACGAGCTCACTAATGAGATTTCCAAAAAAAAATAAACTATAGTTTATAAGTTATCAAGTTTTAGGCTATCAACATTATCCTATTTTGTTTCTCAAGTTTGAAAACAAATTTTTGAAATAACACTTTTATACAAGTGTTATTTTCCATAGATTCTTTCAAAAATTTGTTTTAAAGATGTTCATGGCCTAAAAATTGATTTTTAATTATACATTAATTTGTAATAAAGTATTAATTTGATAATTAAAATACGTTTTATTTTTTACTACATTGGCACTGCTGAATTTGATGTCACGGCATACTGTTATATATTTATTAAACTCTTCAAATGGAGATACTACCAAAAGTGTAAAGAACTGAACCATACAAGTCCCACCACGTGACTAAGTCACGGTGACTTTGATACAAATAATTAAGGATAATTTTCTACCAGTGTAATTTCGTTAGAGATGGGAATCGGAAAGTTTCCATTTTAAGGAAACTTTCCGTTTTGGAAAGTTACTTTGTCCCTTTTAATTTTTTTTACGTTATATCTAGGATTTCCTAGCAGTGAATTTCTAGTAGTAAACATTTTATTTTTATTTTGTAGGTTTCAGTACCTATACAATAGGAATATTCCAAAGTAAAAGATACTAAAAATAGTATTGCAGTTACATTCTTTTTTTTTTCTTAATAAAATTTGACAAAAAGTTAATGTGTTATATATTTTTGCAAATTCCTGGCATAAAAAAAATATTTTCGCAATAAAAATTTTGGGAATTTTCGATGGAAAGTTTCCGGGAATTTTCGTCAAATGGGAATTTTCCCATCTCTAAATTTCGTGTTATTTTCTAAAAATAATAAAATATATGTTGTATGTAATTAAGACCTTTATACACAAAAAGTACATGTTATATTATTTTAAAAAAATAGGACAAAATCAGCCCTACACTGACAGAAAATTAATTATAGGCTTGTTCCTACCCAGCATTTGGGCTGTCAACTGGACATTTAAAACATGCGCAATTGGAAAATTGTGGCCATGTTTTCATATTTTGCATGCGATTTTGGTATTGCGCATGTTCCTCACGTCCATTCTAACCTAATTATTTGTAGGTGGTAACCGCAACTCTCAAAATTATCCGCAAATCGGATTATTCGCCAATTGGCAACACTGCCACAATATAAATAAGGTTGGGAGATTTATACATATATACATGTTGTAAAAGACTAATAATTTAAAATTTAATAATAACTTCCTTGATTAAAATAAAGTATTACAAAAAAAACTACTTTTTCTTAAAAAAGTTCATGATTGATGGTTGGTTTGTGACTTCCTTTTTGCCCTTTTTGGATTTTTTTGTTGGAGATATTTCGGTTTCAGAATTACTGCTGTTTTTCTTTTCCACCTTTGGTTTAGATTTTTGTACGGGTTTTTCTTCAGGTTTTTTAAGTTCTTCCTCATTTTCTGAGCCACTTTCCCAAATGTATTCAGTCTTTGTAACTAAAATAATGTTATATTTTAGCTTTTTGTCGTTGATGCTGCAAAATGCGTACATACAAAATCATTAATTTTTCAGGAGGGCAAAAAATCCTTACTGTGTTCTTTTCAAAAACCTAGAAGCATGAAGGAATAGGTATAAAAAATATGATACAACAAAAATGGTATGCTTTTGGCTTTTTAGAAAAGTACACAATAACGATTTTTTTGTCCTGAAAAAGTAATGATTTTTCACATAAAACATTTTGCAGAATCAACGATGATTTACTGTTTAGAATATATTATTTAAAAAATTGCAGAGTATGTATGTTTTGCTAAATAGAACAGTAAAAAGTAGATAGATTTTTGTACAGTCTTGGTTAGTTTCCAAAATACAGAGAAAATGTTCCAGGGCTTTTAATGACTTTAATATTATTAAACTATTTTGTAGACATTAGCACAGATTCCATTAAAGTAATTTTTAAAGTTAGATTTGTTTTTATACGCCTTTTTTTATATTACGAGCTCGCTCATGAGATTTTCATACAAAATAAACTATAATAATCAATTTTTAAGCTATCAACATGATCCTATTTTGTTTCTTCAAACAAGTTTGAAAACGAATTTTTGAAATAATTTATGGAAAATCTGGGAAATAACAATTTTTATTATCCATAGATTCTTTTAAAAATTCGTTTTTAAACTAGATCAAACCAAACAGGATCATGTTGATGGCTTGGAAATTAATTATTACACTTTTTATGGAAATCAATTTAGAATTATCGTTTCAAATTTTGTGATGACAGTTTTAAGTCCTAATTTTGCCAACAAATTAACAATTTATATTGAGAAAAAATGTATTTTCCGGTTTAAACCGGATTAAATATTGCTATCCGAAGTTTCGTCTCTTATTACTTGAGACATATTCAGGGATTAAAGTGGAGTTCCAGTTTTAGTTTAATCCCTGAAGATGTCAGGGATAAAAAAGATGTCTCGAGTATTAAGATAAGGTCTAAACCCGAAAATACAGTTTTTCTAAACAAGTGCGTCCGTGAAAGCCTTAAATCTACCAATTTATATTGTTACTTATTTACTATTTCGGTTGTTTTTAGTTTTTAATGATACTTTAATTTGCAATAAAGTATTAATTTGTTAATTAAAATACGTCGTTTTATTTTTACTACATTGCATTGCATTGGCTCCACTGAATTTGCTGTCACGGCATACTGTTATTTATTTATCAAACTCTTCAAATTAAATAGAGATACCTTAAAGATAATTTGTTATGCCAAACGCGAATGTCATAATTGAATTCAAAATTATTAGGGGTCGCCCACAATTTTTAAAACTTCAAAGTCAAAAATCCATTTTTTTATTGCCACATAATGTGGCAATAAAAAAAATAGATTTTTGACTTTGAAGTTTACTTAGGCATTTTCCATGTACAAAAATGTAATGTGGCCCACATTACATTTTTGTACAGGGAAAATGCATAAGTATGAGCTTAATAAATAAATATAAATTTTTAAAGGTCGCTCATAACTAAGGTTTTAAAGTGACGGAAAAAAACGGAAAAATTGGGAAAAAACTGTCTATTTCCGTTTTTTCCCAGGCCTTGGAAAAATTGTCTTTTTTGGGAAAAAATGATTTTTTTAGAAATATACACATTTGAAAAAAGTAGCAATTAACAACTTAACATTATTTTAAATATGTAATAAAAAATCCTTTATTACAAAAAAAATTAAACTAAACATAAAATTAAATTTAAGAAAATAAACGTAAACGTGAAATATACTATCTGTTGTGTTTTTTTGTTGCAAAAACCACAAAATAATGAATGATTTATAAAGTTAAATTACAAAATTATAATTTTATAAATTGAAATGTTAAATAAAAGTAGCACCGAATGTTTTTTTGCGGCCCGGTAGAATATTCTTACTGAATTAAAATAAAAGGAATAATTATTATAATCATAATATTATATGATTATAATCAGCGTCGAAAATTCACGTAAAAATTTGGAAATTTTCAAAAAATTGACTTTTGCATTTTTTGTATTACCCTTTGAATAAAATTTAAGAATTTAAAAAGTCCATTTTTCTGAAAATTTCCGTTTTTTTTCCGCCGGCTCAATTTTTAAAACCCTACTCATAACTTGAATTCAATGCTTTTGATGTTTTCAAGCAACCTTTACAATTAATATTTAAAATATTAACCTTTAAAATTAATATTTAAATTATTAATTTAAGAAGTAATTATTTGGGAGAATTTGATATAATAATGAATAAAATGAATAAAAAATCAATTATTCATTATTATATCAAATCCAATGTACAGGGTGTAACAAAAATGGCGCACAAACGGTAATTCTAAGAATAAAAAATAAAAAAAATTCGGCGTTTTATAATCGAATTTGGGTAAAAAAACAATATTTGTTCCAAAAGAATTTTTAAAGCACATTATATAGGTCAATTTAATTCAACATCAAAGCGGCCTAACCTCACTTTTTTAGAATCCCATTTATTTATTAGCTAAAGATTACATTAAATGTACAATAATTATTATTGCTTTTAGAAGCAGTAATAGTTTGACAATACCTAGCAACATGATTTAAGTAGAAATGGATTTTTGCTATTACATTGAATTCAATTAATATTTAATAAATAGGTAGGTATCTAATTTCAATTTGTTTGGATTTTTATTTAAAAAATAGATAGTTTGGAATGTTTAAGCTGTGTTTAACATTTAATTTCACTGAAAAGCAAATTAAAACTTAAAGATAATTTAAATCGTAGAAAAAGAATCGTGCGTTTTCGTGATTGCCTAACCTCACTTTTGGTTTTATTATTCATATTTAATTTAACAATAATTTAATGAAAAATATTAAGTAAACATTAAAAGTAAAACAAACAAATTAGTGCTTATTATAAATAAATTAAACCAGTTTAGTACGTTAATTTCTTAAAAAAGGATTAATTTGTCAAAACAATACCCCTAGCGAGAAAAAATCGAACTAATTACTTGCCTCATAAAATTTTTTATCGGCCTAGGCCATAACAAGGTATTTCTTTATCGAATGTTGAAAACAATAAAGTTTAAATTATAGACCGCGTGGAGATAAAATATTATTAATTATATTATTATAATTAAAATCATATCTACAAAAACTCCAATGCAAAATTTTTAGGTAATAAATCCTAGTGATTGGTATATTATCAGTATTACCTATGAAACCTTCTTCATCTTCATAAGTTTTTTCAACAGCTTTTCGTTTTTTGTTTTTGTTTGCTAAGGGTTTTTTAATTGTAACTGGTTCAGGTTCATCATCTGACGGTTCAATGACAGATTCATCCTGTTCATTATTACCTTCCTCTTTTTCAAACAAATCTAAAAAACATTGTTAATTTATTCACTGCTAATGGTGAGTATATTTTTTTCATTACCATCACTATCTGAATCATTTCTTTCAATGATTCTTTTTCTTCTTTTATTGGGTCCTTCAGAGGATTTTTTTCTTTGCCTTTTATTGTCTAGAATAAAAAAAAATATGTAATAATTCCCTTGTGGAAATTTTTCTCTGAGAAAGTCTTACTTTCTCTGAAAAAGTCTGAATAATACTTATTAAGTCGGAAAAAGTCAGAATAAGACTTATTAAGTCGGAAAAAGTCTGAATAAGTCTTATTAAGTCAGACTAATAGCAAGATTTGGGAGTCTTCTGGAAGAGTTAATAAGACTTTTTAAGACTTAATAAGACTTTTAGTAGAGAAATGGTATACCTATAGGTACCTACGGAGATAAAAATAAATATCCGAAATAATTCATAGAGGTTGTATTTGGTTATCGTAAAATAAAACACATAGAAAAGTATTTATTAACATTTTTGCTGTTGTTATAAGCCAAGTTTATTGCATAATTACCTATATAATAACATAGGTAAGATGTAATAATTAGGTATAACAATTATAATTTTATACATACGATGCGCTTGACATGCATGCTTCCACCATAGAAAAAGGAGTTGCCACTGTACGTTTTATTTTAATAGTTTCTTTTGATACACGCAAATATTTACCTATCTAAACATTGTTACAAACAATAGACGTAAGACGTAATATCGAGAGACCAGCTTAGCTAGCTGACCAATTAGAGCACAGCTGACCTGTCAGTGGGACACAGTGTTGCCGTTTGCAAGTATTTTACTCGAAAATCGGGTATTTTCATAATATTTGCGGGTGATTTGCAAATTTCTATCAAAATAATAATGAAAGAAATTTTCAGTAAATAATATTGTATATTTACTAAATATGCACAATTATTTTATTCTATCTTGTTACATTTTTATTATTATTTTAGTATTTTTTAATTTATGGTCAGGAACTTTTATGGCAACACTGTACGTAAACACGAAGATCAACCATGAATCATGGTCCATGATACAAAGATGAATGAAACACGAAGATCAACCATATTTGTCTTATGAGTCTATCGAAAATATCATGTCTATAGACTTAATATCAATTAATATTAACTCCTTTTTCTATGATGGAAACAATGAAAGCATGTTAAGCGCATCGTATGTATAAAATTATAATTGTTATAATTATTACACCTTACCTATGTTAGTATATAGGTAATTATGCAATAAACTTGGATTATAACAACAGCAAAAATTTTAATAAATACTTGTCTATGTGTTTTATTTTACGATAACCAAATACAACCTCTATGAATTATTTCGGATATTTATTTTTATCGCCATAGGTACCTACCATTTCTCTACTAAAAGTCTTTTTAAGTCTTAAAAAGTCTTATTAACTCTTCCAGAAGACTCCCAAATCTTGCTATTAGTCTGACTTAATAAGACTTATTCAGACTTCTTCCGACTTAATAAGTCTTATTCTGACTTTTTCCGACTTAATAAGTATTATTCAGACTTTTTCAGAGAAAGTAAGACTTTCTCAGAGAAAAATTTCCACAAGGGTTTATAAGAAAACTTAATATTAAATTAATGTATTACCGTTTTTCTTACTTGTAGGGGTTTTCTTTCCTTTCCCTTTTTTTTCTTTTTTTACTACTACTACTTCTTCTTCATCATCATCATCATCCACATCCATAATTTCTTCCTTTCCTTTAATTAAATTTTTAAGTAAAAAATGTAATTGTTAAATATTTTTAATTACCATTTTTGATAGTTTCTTCTTTCTTTCCATTTTCCTTATCCTCATCTTTTTCAACTTTAACTTTGGGATCTTCTGTACTTTTATTTGTTTTTGGTGGTGCTTTACTAAACATATTAGCAATTCCACCCTGTTTTGCCTAATAAAATATATCAAACAATTTACATTATAAATATTTATTGGAAGACTTAAATTTAGCATCAATAAATACATATAGTCTAAGATCCCAAGTAAGGTCGACCTTCACCCATCTGCTTACCAGATGAAAATTATATTTTATCAAATAAAATATGTTTCTGAACATAAACCAATAGGGTTGCCATAAAAAATATGATCAAGGCTAGCTATAATAAATAAAAAATTAAAAAAAAATAATTAATTTTTTAAATTTCACCGACTTGCTTGCCAAATGAACGAAATTCCAATGGAAAGCATACAACATACAGAATATGTAACAGCTAGGTTGCCTACCTTTTTCTGGTCCCTATTACCTGGTTGCTTTGTACAGGGTGATCCCCTATAATGTCACCCCCCTTTAACTTTTTTCATTTAAGTGTCCCAAAAAATTTAAAAGTGTGGTGATGTAGGAACTAAAAAATACTTTTTTTCTACGTATAAAGAAAATTGGAAAATTGATAAGTATACAGGGAAAACAAAAAGTTTATTTTTTTCAATGGATCACCCTATATATGAATTTATTTTTCGATTCCTTGTAAAATTCTAAGCATATTTCATATATCATACCATATACCTAAATTCAACCGTTTCTGAAATATTTAAATTATTTTTAAGATAATAAGTTGAAATAGTTTGTTTTTCTCTGTCTGAGTACGCCATTTTTACTTATTTAACAACACTTATTGACATAATGTCACTATAGTAATTTATTTTCAATAAAAATTTTGGTATACTGAGGCTTCTTGATTTCTAACAGTTTAAAAAAACATTTAATGATGACATTTCGAATGCGAATATTTCAGAAACGGTTGAATTTAGGTATATGGTTTGTTATATAAATTATGCTCAGAATTTTACAAGGAATCGAAAAATAAATTCATATATACGGTGATCCATTGAAAAAAAATAAACTTTTTGTTTTTCCCTGTATACTGATCAATTTTACAATTTTCTTTATACGTAGAAAAAAAGTATTTTTTAGTACCTACATAACCAAACTTTTAAATTTTTTGGGACACTTAAAATAAAAAAGTTAAAGGGGGGCGACATTATAGGGGATCACCCTGTACAAAGCAACCAGGTAATAGGGACCAGAAAAAGGTAGGCATATTACATATTCTGTATGTTGTATGCTTTCCATTGGAATTTCGTTCATTTGGCAAGCAAGTCGGTGAAATTTAAAAAATTAATTATTTTTTTTTAATTTTTTATTTTTTATTTTTTTATTATAGCTAGCCTTGATCATATTTTTTATGGCAACCCTATTGGTTTATGTTCAGAAACATATTTTATTTGATAAAATATAATTTTCATCTGGTAAGCAGATGGGTGAAGGTCGACCTTACTTGGGATCCTCTACTAATAGGATTTTGTTTAAGTCTCATATAAAATTGTATAAAAATTGTCTTTCCTTTCTCTGGCGCAATTACACTGGTCAGCAAAATGACATTTTTTGTTTTCCACAGGGGTGCCAACAACACCTGAGAAAACGGGTGGAAACTGTCCATTAGCGCACCCTGTATGTATGAATATGTAACTTTAACTTATTTTTTCTACTACCTTACTAGAAAACTTAATTTTCCACCCCCGAGCGAGGGAGGAAAATGCCTCCTTTCCTCCCCGGGAGGAAAATGCCTCCTTTCCTCCCCAGGAGGAAAATGCCTCCTTTCCTCCCCGGGAGGAAAACAAATTTCCTCCCTCTTTTTTTTAACAATTTTACATTGGCAAGAGTTTTTGTACCTTGTCTAGCCCTATTTGAAAATGCCTCCTTTCCTCCCCGGGAGGAAAATGCCTCCTTTCCTCCCCGGGAGGAAAATGCCTCCTTTCCTCCCCGGGAGGAAAACAAATTTCCTCCCTCTTTTTTTTTAACAATTTTACATTGGCAAGAGTTTTTGTACCTTGTCTAGCCCTATTTGATTTTGTAGGAAAAAGATTTAAGCTTAATTTTCATGTATTCGTTTGTCCGTTATCCGTTTGTCCGTTATTCAATAAAATCGTCCGATAAGAAATGTTCTAATTTTCATGCATCCGTTTTTTAATGACGTTTAACGGATTGATTTGACGACAAAATATAAATTAAGTGTCAGTATATTCACTTCACAATAACGTCAAAAACAGATGTGTATTGACGGATGAGTTAAAATTATTTAACCTTTCTCTATCAGACGTACGAAGTTATAACTTGACGGACCGCTCCCGGATGAACGGACTAACGGACAAACGGATACATGAAAATTAAGCTTTACTCCGCGCTTGTCCAACCATTCTTTTTACAAACTATATTCATTTTCATATCGATTTCTTTCGATTTCTAAGGAAGGAAATTAATTGCAAGTATTCTTGCCTTTTTAGCAAGATCTTGCGGCAGGTCTTCTTCGCTAGAACTCATTTTTAAAATGTAGGAAGAATTTCAAATTTATGATAAACATTCTGACAGCTTATAAAAACTGTTATGTTTGTATTACCAAAAATACCATAGCAACAAAGCGTTGTCAACATAACGTCGGCAACGCAACACCTACTTAATATTTTGTCATAATTTTATAGCCCCATACCGGGTTAGTAAAAGGAACCAGAATGCTTAAAATGTCTTAAAACCGTTAAAAGGTAATAGAAAAAACTATATACATACCTCAGGAGGAAAATGCGTTTCCTCCCTTGAATATTTAATGCCCTTCGCTTCGCGTCGTCGGGCATCAAACTATTCGCGGGAGGAACAGCACTATTCTGCCCTACTATGGAGAAAGGCAGTAACTACAAAAAAATTCTAAATGCGTTTTCTTGTGCTATGATAAAGCTATAGACATTTTGTATCTTAATTCAAGAAAGAAATGCAGTAAACTATCTTTTAAGTTAAATAAACCAGTTAAATATTTACTGCTTTTTATAAAAATGTAGTTTATGCTAATTTCCCACAAATTTCTTGTTTAGCAGTTACTGCCTTTCTCCATAGTTGGGCAGTATTTTCCTCCCATGGTATGTAAATAGCTATTAATTAGGTAATTTCAAATATATAAATCATTTCTTCAACTTTTGTTCACAGGATTTTTTTAGGAATTCCAACGACTTAGTCTTACAAGCGAAAATGACCGTAATTATAAATTTTGACCCGCGCGGTTGTTGCCATTGCTATTATATTTGTAATTTTTATTTAATTGTTAAAATTTTAATAGATAAATACAAAATTTTGCCAATTTTATTGAAATCGGACAAAAATTTAAACATCACTTTGAACTTATTAATAAGATTTATATATTAATTAACTAATAAATTATAATTTATTCTTTTAATTAAAATTAGGACTCAGCTTCACTAACAATGATCAGCCTTGGTTAAAGTATTTGACAACAAAAATATATTAACAAATTTGAATGTTTGCATATAAAAAACAGTTCTTACAATTTCTCTTTCAACAAAGGGGTCATTCCATGTTACTCGGGGATTTTTGTCCCGCCCGTCACAATTAAAAATTGTGAGTAAATACTACACGTTATAAAATTTATTTAAAAATATTGTTTTATTATGCTTTTAATAAGTTATAAGCACAATAAAAATAATATTATAAAATATTAATTTTATAACTTGTGGTTTTTACTCACAATTTTTAATTGTGACGGGCGAGACAAAAATTACCGAGTAACGTGGAATGCCCCAAAGGCAAATTTAGCAAAATTATTTTTGGAATCGGCGCACCCAAATTACCCTAAAAAAGTTGTTGGGCACCCTGTGGCAAAATGTCTGCTGACCAGTGTTATTTCATTATAATTTTTCCTTTCCAGATACCAAACAAACAGTCAAAAAGTTTATTAATAAGTCTTACCTTACTCTCCACTTTCTTATTGGATACCACAGCCTTTTCATTACTTTTTTTTTCCTTGTTTGTTTCAGGCGATGTCTTTTCAACCTTCTTTTCTTCAGGTTTAGTATTTTTCATAAAAACTGCAGATTTTCCTCTAATCGTAGGAGCAGGCAGTGTGGGTAGATTTTTGGCCTTTATAACTCTCTTAACACAATTCTTACTTACAACAAACCCCAACCTAAAATGATCTTATTAATTCGATGATTAACAGCATTCATTTTTACCTACAAAGCTTGATCTCTTGGCTTTTCTAGTTCGTCTCTAGTTGCAAGACTTATTACATTAAAATCAATGTTTTTATTCTTCTGAACGCTGTAAATAGTTTCACCAGATACATTTTTAAAAGCTTCTTTTTTCCTATCCAAATCTTCTTCCTTAACAATGCAAACCGCCGTTTCGGTATTATCTTTAAGGACCCCCGTTATAATATAAGTAATGGCTAAATGTTTCTTGTTGTCTTTAACATATTTACTAAGCAAATCCTTTGCTTTTTGAATGTTTATTTTCAAAAGCAAGGCAGCTGTTGGAACGGTAATCTAAAACCATTTAAATTAATTTTACGTTTACCTAACCTTATTGATTTAGCTTACGACTTTATCGTCGTCGTTTATGCATTCCTGAAGCTGTTGCATGTACAAATCTTCAGACGCAGTATTCATTTTAAACGCGTTTACTTTCCTAAGGTTGAATTTAAAAATATCAATAAATATCACAGTTTGACATTTCTAATAGAAATTTTCTATAAACACTCGCGCCATTTCCAAACAGGTCAGGCAACATTAAAATCCCCGAAGACGTAGGCAACTAATTAAACATTTCCTTTGCTTTCACATTTTTTTTCTTGGAGCTTTAAAACTTAACTTATACATTATAAAATTTATTTATTTATTTATAATATACAATGAATATTATGTATGTAAAGTTTAAAGTAATATTTAAAAGCCAAATCGGTAACTGCTATCTGTAATATGGGTTGCCTAACAATTTAGATATTTTTTTCTATTTTTAATGTTAAGACTTAACATTAAAAATAGAACAGTTAAGTTATTTTTTCTACTCCCACCTTTAAAACGTCCATTATCGTACATGTTTCCATAACACCAAGTGACCTTTTAAATACACTTTGACAAGTTGTGGCTTTATGACGTTTTACTAAAACGGTTTTAGTCACGGGCTGAAGTTAGCAACAGGTTTTTAGTCACGGGCTGAAGTTAGCTTTAAGTTAGTTGACAGTTGTCAAATGTCTTACAATCGTTAAAATAAAGTGCCCTTCTTGTAAAATAATACTTAATGTGAAAATTATTTTATAATCTCAATACAAAAGCATTAAATAGTTTCTCAACGCCAATATTTAAAAAATTGATATAAACATTGTACTGACCTTTTAATTTCGCCGGCAAGTAAGATATAATTTATAAATTCGGGCTTAGACTCCATCGTGAAGTGCTCATAAAACAACTTTTTCACTTTCACTGTGAATATTATTCACTGAATTACTGTTGTTAATCCATTTTCAAGGTATACATTTCGATTTATAACACATACAAATTTGACATTTGACGGTAACACAGGGGCGGATGGGGGGGGTCAGACCGGCCCTGGATTTCTCGAGCTGAGCGGCCCATTGTACTTAAGAGGAAAGTTTAAGGTATAAGCAAAATAAAAAAACACCTGACAAAAAAATATATAATCAAATGGTAAAAAAACAAATACTCTAAAATTAAAAAAATATGTTTCATTATTTTTAAAACAAAACGAAAACTAAATGTTATATAAGTCTAAAACAAAACAGAATAAAAATAATCATTGGTTAATATGTTAATACTTTCTGCATTAACCTACTGGATAAAGCGAGTTTATTAATAATTTCTTCGTTGTCGATTTTACTTAACAGATCTCGCTCCATATTCATGAGCATAAAAGATTCTAAGTTTTCCTCTGATAAAGAATTCCTTAATCTATTTTTAATATATTTTAAAATTGAAAAGCTTCGTTCACAAGACACTTGAGTCACTGGAAGAGTTAAAATATATTGATATATAACATATAGGCAAGGATATGCATTTTGATAGGTACATGTTATATTTAACTACAGTCAAGTAGCAACAGAAAACGCAGTTTTGGCAAGGATTAGTTTCTTTATTACATTGATTTTGAAAGTCAACTTGTTCATATGAATATTCTCATCAACTGTTAAGAATGTGGGATCTTTTTCAATAATATTTATAATTGAATTTTTAAGTGACATTTTGTAAAGGTCCCAATTATTTATAAAATGTAGCAATTCATCTTTAATTATTAAACATGAAGCATCTGGTTTAAACTTTAAAATTTTTTGTAAAATATAATGTAAACTTTGTTCTGGAAGGCACTTATTTTTTTTTATTTCATCAAATGATAAGGGATTGAAAATTGAAATGTCTGTAATGAAATTTAAATTTCTTTCGTAGCGTTTTTCCATAGACTCAACTGCTGTGTCCACTGTTACGTAAAAGGTGTTAACAATAAATTTTTCTCGAGGATATTGAATGGATTCATCTGAAACATTTTCATCAACAAATTTTTTAACTTTTCTTTTTCTTATAATAGGAAATTCTTTTTGTATTTCAAAATCAAGATCTCTCTTTTCAATTTCAGCATTAATAACTGATATAAATTTTTTTGTTGAATTTTCAACTATGTCAAAGTCACGTTGAATTTTTTTTAATTCAGATACTGAGTTTTTAATCATAAAACTGGCTTTTATAAGGTCCATACCTTGCGTTTGTAAATATCGAGAAAGTGGGCCCGTAATTTCAAATATTTTTAAAAAAATTTGAGCTGTAATAATAATTTCATATTTTAAAAATTTTGTTTTTAAACTATCTGCGGTAGACCGAATATCGGGGTTAAAATTGCGGTTTTTTAAATATTATTTAAACTCTCGATTACATCTATATAAAGAGGTTCTTCTCCAAAAACTTTGACTAATTCTTTTTCTTTTGACCACCACCTTGTTTTCCCTATTAAACCAAGTTTTTTCCGATTTTGATCTTCAGAAATAGAAGACCATATATCCATTCTTTTATAAGATTCTCGAAAAAATTAAGCTGTAGTGTTTAATAAAGAAAATAAGTTAGAGGCTTGTAAATTATCTTTTAAAATATCGTTTAACACTAAATTCAAAATATGTGCATAACACCAAATATGCACGTGATTTTGATTTTGATCTTGCATTTTAACGGTGAATCCATTATATTTCCCCTGCATATTAGCTGCCCCATCTGTTGAATCAGCGATACAATTGGATTTTAAAATCCAACGTCTAAATCATTTTTTTGTAGTACGTTATTAATAATGTCATGAAATCCTTGTCCAGTGCTATCGTGACAGGAAACTACAGCTACAAGTCTTTCCATAACTTGTTCTTGATATACGTATCTGCAATGAAAAAAATCTTGTTCAGGTATTTTTATTTAGGTAAAACTTAAATTTAACTTTACAAAACCGTAAAAATTAATTTTTATGTACTCACTGTTTGTATATTATGAAAACTTTTTTAATAACCTTTCTATTGTCCATCTACATTTTTTTATGAATAAACTCATTATTATTTCTATTATCTTGTGACAAAAAAGTTAAAAAGCTTGGTACCTTACAACAACAGAACATTGGTCCATTACTGAAATATCCTGCGTAGTGTCAAGTTCCAGGGAAAACATACCAGATGACTTAATTTGTTCAAAGATTAGCTTTTTAATGTCGGTAGTTATTATAATAATAAGCATATTGACCGTTGTTTTTGAAATAAAAGTAACAAAATTTCCTGTTCTGTTTTTTATGCCTTTTTCTTTATTTTTTTTGCTTATTTCAATTGCGCTGTCAAGATGGTTTTTAAGTACAATATCATATTTTGATAAAAGCAAAATAATTTCCAAGAAGGTGCCATGATCTTTGTGCTCATTCGCTGAATCCAGGGTGTACGCGGCTTCATTTGTTTTACCACTGAAAAAAGTTATAAGTAAGTAAGAAGTAACAAGAGTACATAAAATTATTATAAAATTAAGTTAACCTACCGATATGAAAATCCTCTTTTCAGGGCGGTGCTCGCGGGCTCAAGCACCACATGTATAGGAAAATGGTGGTGCTCAGCACTACACGTATCTTCAGCAGAAAAATTGCATTTCTTTAGCGGTCTCTAAATTTTTTATCCTGCTAGCCTGGGATACACACCAACGCCCTTTAAAAATTTACGGTTGAAGCTGAGGAATCCAAAGTTTAAAGTATAAAAGTCGGTCGTTATAGTATGTATAAGTGTATGTATCTTGATATAGTAGGAATAACATACCGAAACGTCGCTACGTGTATTTAGGGTATTTCTACCATACCGACGGTAACCCACCAAACTTTGAGTTATATTATTATTATTATTTACAGTTCGTGCGGTTTGTTTATTATCTCTGAGTTCGTGTGTGCTACCACCAATTGTGTTAGTGGATAGACCCGACTTTTTATCAACAAATGTAAGTTAGTTCGAATCTTAGAGTAACTCTGTTTTAATTGTATCTCGTAAAAAAAAATCTAGAACGATTATTTTAAACCCGGATTTTTGATGCTGGTAACCCTTAATCCAAGAAGTGGCAGATTTCAACCCTAAAAACGTCCGATGTGGCAGTAATATACCTACCTATCCCATTCGATTCCATTACAGGGTGAGTTTTTTAACTTGAAACTTTAAAATATCTGGCGTAATAAGCACTGTCGAAAAAACTATTTAAACTAAATTTAATCATTCCGGGGGGGATATATTAGTGCTAAAATTAGTAGTGTGCTGTCCCTGTATATAAAATGTGACTGAGTTTGATAAATAAATTGACTAAAAAACTATTCCAATTTTATTTTGTTCTCCTTCCCGCAACCCCCAAGGAAAAGAACACCCACACTCCCCATCCATTAACCACTGCTACCAACCAACTGTAGATGAGCACCACACGTCAAAATGAAAAGCTGCCGGCCCTGCCTCTTTTGCTAATAAGTTTAATAACATCTATAACTCGGTGAACTACTTCCCTATTTTGAGTAATTTTGGATTGTTTTTTCTTTAATATTTCAGAATCACACAATAACTTGTTTATGGATTTGTTTGCGACAAATCTAAAATACGAAGTGACAGAATTTGTATGTTGATTGGAAATTTCGTGTTCATTTATTCTTTGGTAAACATGTCTCCAGTCAGACATTCCTTGAGTAAAAATATTTTTTTCATTGATTCCAGAAAAGGCTAAACAAACACAACAAAAAAGGGAATTGTTTTTGTCATTAAAGGAAATCCACTTTCTTTCACCCTCTGTTGGTGATCTTTTAAAAACATTTTCTACATTAAAAGGTAATGAATGCGCTTCATTCTTATTTGGAATTTTTGGATGATATTCAAAAAAAAATCCTACCTCTTCTTTTGTCGGTCTTTTAAAAAAGTCGGGTTCCAAACAATATTCTTTGTCAATTTCAAAAGGCACTATGGGCTGCGAGATCATTTCGCTGGATAAATTGGGCCTTAAAATTTCAATATTTTTTTTATTTTTAGGCGAACTTTCTTGCATAATCGTAGATACGGGTGTATTTTTTAAAGGTTCAGACATTTTAGATGTCGATGGCCGCGGCTGTTCTTGCGGATTAAAAAACGAAAACGTATCTAATGATCTGCATTTTGCCGCTTCTTCTAACAGTTTCTTTTTTTTGCGCTCTCTTTCTTTTTCTGCTCCTCCTTTCCGCTTAATTTTTTCCTTCTCCTGTCTATCCATATTTG